CGTAAATGTATTCACGAATAATAAAAAATATAATTTTTGTTTTGGTACGTTTATGTCAATTCGTACCTTTTGTGAACAAAAAGTACGCTTGTTACAAAATTAAAAATAGCGCAACTCTAATTACTCTCTCAAGAGAGAGAAACTCTCAACACCGTTCCCGATCCCGACAAATATAAAACCACGCTAAGCCTATAGTTGGGCAAAATTAAATTGAGAACAAGTGTGTGCGAGCGTAACTGAGAATTCATCATTAAAAACTACTGACGTAAAGAGAAAGAAAGAGAAAATGTATATACCCAACGACCCTCAGTTACGGTAGCGTATATGGGTAAGCGTGGTTTTATATTTGCCGGGATCGGGATCGGTGTTGAGAGTCTCTCTCTCTCTCAGTGGTAAATTGTGAATTGTGTTGGAAAACATTGCCACAGGTAGGAACAAAAAAGTACGAAAAGGTACCTAAAATTATACTTCAAATGATAATAAATCATAATTATCGAGAAATATTGGCCAATATTTATACCAGTTGTTTGCATAAATAATATATGTTATAATTTAAGCTTAAATGTATTCACGAAAAATAAAAAATATAATTTTTGTTTTGGTACGTTTATGTCAATTCGTACCTTTTGTGAACAAAAAGTACGCTTGTTACAAAATTAAAAATAGCGCAACTCTAATTACTCTCTCAAGAGAGAGAGAAACTCTCAACACCGATCCCGATCCCGACAAATATAAAACCACACTTTTTAAATCAAATTTATAAACTTTTTAAGGTGGAAGAGGATAAATATAGTTAGATTTTTCCAAAATCTATGAAACCAGATAAATATATTACATAAAATATTCATACTATTGTTACAATTTGGCTTTGAGTTTTTTTTAGTTTGTGTCACTTCACTAGCACCTCTATGATACAACTCACATGTAGGGTTTGGGATCGGGTATTCCCGGGATTTCCCGAAACTGTATTTTACCTCCAAGAAGTGATTATCGATGAATGGCGGTGAATCGATGAAGACTTGCGAAAAATTTTGATCATAATAAGGGAGGCCCTACCCATTATTTGTAAAAGTTATTTAAGTTTTAAAAAATAAATTTATTTAATTTTGTCAAAGTTCGGCTATAGTTATGCAACACCAGTAATTTTGAAAGTGCAGAATAAATTATTTATTTTTGTTGAATAATATGTGTTTTTGATCGTTTTATTGTGAACAATAACTTAATGGGTTCATTTTATTTGTCAACTATGCAACGCAGTGTAGTTCTTAATACATTGGTTTGCCTAAAACATACTAAAATACTCTTATTTAAAGATTAATTCATATTTTTTTATTTTTAAGTGTTATTGTACAATCACGTAGAACGAAAATTTTCAGTAATTCTAATTATTTAATTAAAAATATGTCATTAATTTCTACTTACAAAGCTTGTGAAAAGTCCCGGGAATGATAATTTTGAATTCCCGATTTCCCAAACCCTACTCACAAGTGATTCACAACTTACAAGTGAATTTTATGTAATACATTTATCTGGTTTTAAAGATTTTGCAAAAATCTTTATCGTTTTCCACCTTAAAAAGTTTATAAATTTGATTTAAAAAGGAAAATACCAGCTAGCTAACTCAATTTGAGAGAGCGTTGGTGAGAGCATTTTGGGGTCTATGTATTCATTTGTCTATAGTTTTTAATCATGAATTCTCAGTTACGCTCACTCACCCACACTTACTCTCAATTTTGTTATGCCCACCACTGGTCTATACATTCATTTGTCTATGCTATCACTTGTGAGTTTTATACCTTTTAATCTCTCATACTCTAGCGGTGATCGTAAAATCAAACAATTGTTGCTATGGTGTGGAAAAATACTCGATTTTAAAAAAATACTTGCACTCAAAAGGCTTGACACCCAAAACTCTTGTGCTTATCTAAGTGGCTTACGTTTGTTTGTGGATTGTTGAAGTTCTCTGGTCTGTTTTTTCTCCCACTGTTCGTTGCGTTAACTATTTCTCTTACACCGGATTAGGCATTGAAACTGCTAGTTTTATTTGTATATGCATATACATATGTATCTTTATATTATTCACTTGCTGGGTGTTTATTTTTGTCTACAATTAATTTACAATAGTTTACAATAATTACTTAGTGTGGATGTGTTTGTTTTGTGTGGAGTAATAATAAGCTGTCCTCATCGCTGATTGTAGTCAGATCGATTACTGATAAAATTGAAACGAATTAAGAGAATTGAGAATATTTAGGATGGAAAGTCAGTCTATTCGTTAAATCCACCCTTGAATATTTAATGGACATTAATATTTGAGACCTGAAATAAGAATGAGTTCATGTAATAATGGGACGGACGAGAATCCGACTAACAGCGATTTAAAAAAATAAATAATTCCATATTCATTCAGTGATCATCAAAACATAATAAAGGAATATCTGCTAATTTATGGATTGTATCGGTAATGAAACAGAGATAATATTTCCGAATCAATCAAATATTTTTGTATGTTGTGAAGCTATGGGCGGACTTTAGTGTATTTGTGTGTTCGTTTGAAAAACATCTATAGATTAAAAAATTCTAATGTAAATATTGGATAGAAATTTAAGCTATTGTCTTTTGTGAATTCGACGATGGCGTAAAAATCATTAATTCTTATTTCAAAGTTCTTAACTATTCACACGTGTTTTATGTGTGTGCATGTGCATCATTACAAAGGACTTAAACTAGCAAATGAGAAAACAGGAAACATAAAAGTAAAACCTTAATTAAAGGAAATCAATACATATAACAACAATTCATGGTAAGAGTCTCGAAGAGATGGCTCCGCAGCGGTCCCAACGAGTATGCTGCTTTACTGGTATTCATCATCACTACTCAACAGCATAGATTTTTCATTATAGTTTTGGCTTATCGTTGCCACACGTTGGCCGCCGGGCATGAACTTTCGCTGATTACCAAGTGTTTTGGATGCCATATAGCCTAGAGTGGAGTTCGAAGTCGCTTGACTGAGAGTGGAGTTGGTGTTACTGTGGTTTACATCGTCCGGGTCATATGACGAAACTCGGATACCTCGGGAATTTTTTCCACCTATATGCAATGAATTGGGACATAGATATTTATTGATAACATATGCATATTCCTATGTATATCTATACAAAATAAAAAGTAAATTAATGCACAATCACATATACAATTAGAGCATACGAAAACATTTGCATGCAAAAAACAAAATCAAAGCAAAAAAGAGCTGTAGGTGAAACTGCTCGCTGCAACAACAACAAACTGCTAACACTATTTTCCCCACCTATTATCGCATTAACACCAGTAAAGCCTACAGAAATACATTTATATTAGCGGAATTTACAAATGATTGTAAAAATACAACGCTTTTATATGTGCAAAGGTTTCTTATGACGAAGACGAAACCATTTTTATGCTGTGTTGTCCTGCTAATTTGTAGTTGTATGCAAAGAAATCATGGTGTGTTGCTGAAATAAATTAAGAAATATATACTCAATACTAAAGGTTATAATTTTTAATTTATCCGGTCCCTGTAGATACCCTTCAAAAATCGTGATGCTCCTACAAATACTCTAACAACATATTGAACTTATTGTCGCTTAATTTTTAATTAATATTTTAATTTAATTTTTTTACCACAAAAAATCACACACAAAATAAAACTCACAACAAAGTGGCGGCAAAATAATCAGCTGATCTAAACCCTTGTATAAATAATGTACGTAGTTTCAATACTTTTTTGTATAAAAAGTAAAACTCACAACAAAGTGGCGGCAAAATAATCAGCTGATCTAAACCCTTGTATAAATAATGTACGTAGTTTCAATACTTTTTTGTGGAGTAAATTTACAACCTTGTGGTAAACTAAACTTCCATGTATTTTGTTGTCGTGGTATTGTAAACTGTTGTAGATCTACAATATTTACCAGATGTACTATGTCTACAATGCCAATTTACAACCATTCTTGTATTCCGCTATGATATTAAAAAGAATAATGAAGTGATTGCGAAAAATTGTATTTAATTGGGTACTTTGTAAAGTATATAAAATATGTAATTAAAAATTGGGCAAAATACAATAATTGATTTATACATACAGTTTGTAAAGGTAATCTATGCGAAATACAAGCTTAAAATTTGTATGTGTATTTTAAATCTAATTTATATGTTTGTATGTATATAAAAAGCAAAGAAAGATAAAAACAAAATCATGGTACAATAAGGTAAACGTATCACACGTAACAGTTAAGTACTTAGTTTAGAAATGTCTGTTTTGCATGAATACAACTAGAAATGCAAGAGTAGTAATAATAGTTTGAACAAAGATTGTTTGGTTCCTATGCGTACATACAGTGGTGGCGAACACGTAAATTGAAATTGAGATTAAAACAAGAAATAGACTATGTTGAGTTTATAAAGACTGAATTAGAAACATAACGTATCAAAAATCGCAGTTCCGGATTAGAAACAACCAATTTCAATTTGAATTGGAATATACGGCCCAACAGCAGTTGGGTTCCATTAACATAGTTTGAAATATTTTAATTTAAAGAAATAGTTGTAGTAATTCAAAGAAATAGTTGTAGTTAATTTAAAGAAATAGTTGTAGTAAAACCTAGTCAAAATTATTTGGCCACGAATGGCTTGCCGCTACACTAATATATTGCAATATATTCTGACATTCCCTCACAAATTTTGAAAAGCGTGAACTATAAGGCAGATTCTAATTACGCTGCCACTACTGTACGTAAGCGTGCGGAACCAATGGATTTAAATAGGTTTCCAATTGGCGTAAGGCAGCTCCGATAAAGGTGAAGGCAACTGTGGTTGTGTTTGCTTTGCACGTCTGTATTAGTCGTTGCCGACTACTTATACTAATAATTACTTTATAATATATTTAGGTATAAAATGTCTTTTATAATTTTAATAAAAGGAATCAGCTCGGCGAATGTATCACAAAATCCGATCGTTACGCCCTCATTCATCATAATTACAAAATTTTAATTTCAAAGTTTTTCATAGCGTTGCGACGAAGTCACTTCTGTAAATCAAAAAAAAAAAAAAACATATAAAAAATAATAATTTAAAAACGCCACACTAAAACTAAAATAATTAAAATAAAAAATAACCTGATCATAGAATATTCCATTTGAAGATTAGTAATATATGTGTATGCGTTAGGGTTATGAAAATCAGCAGTGCAGTGGGCAGAATATTTGGTGATTAAAAACTTTATTTTGTATTTAATTTTACTAAAATAATTTCAAAAACATCAAATAATATAAAATACACACCTTTACTTTGATGTCAGACATAAAGCCGTAAAGACTAAAAAAAAAACGCAAATAACAGGCAATGTGGCGAAACAAAATTTAACATAATATCAATGATATGTGGGTCGATTCACTATAAAAACTTTATTCCATGTCTTAATTTTATATAAATCAGACAATATAAAAACCTTATATGACACCCGAGTATTTTTTATAAAAAAATGAATGTATTTGCAGTTAAATGTATTTTTTAACCTAAAAACCCAATACATTTAAAGAATCTTTCAGAATTAAAAAAAAAATTAACAGAAAAAAATTTAAAAATTTAACAGAATAACAATTATATTCGAAATGCCACAAATCCACTAAGAAATTAAATTATTTAGCGTATGTTTTAATTTTGTGATATTTGTACCAAATATGTAAAATTTTGAAAAAGTTTTCTCTGACGAAACGAAAAAGACTATCGCTGGTATTCCATTCATTTTTTGAATTTTTAGTAGAATGATGGATCTAATTTTTCGCGATATAATTTTCATTCGTTTTTGCATTTTTTAAATTATTTTAGAAGTTATAAAAACAACTGTTTAAACAAATGTTTGGGAAATTTTCTGCCTTTTAGGCAATGCTGTCACTCAATTGTGTCCTGCATTTTAAAACGATTATCATTGTGGTCAAACAAAATGAATAAGAATGAAGAATTGAATGCGTACGATGAGTGCGGTGCAAAGCGTGAAAATTAATTAAGTATAAATATGATACAAATAAAAATAGTAATAAATAAACAAGATGAAAAACGCATGCCAAAGTGTTTCCCACTACAATAAAGTAGATGTACTAAAAATCTTAATAGCGAGATGTTTGTGAAAGCATTTATATTGTGCTTACCAGAACTATATTGCGTGTACTGTTGATATTGAGGGTGGAAGTTGTGAATAGCGTCGGTCATAATGTCTTTAGGATTCATAGTTTCCTAAAAGAGAACAAACAGATAAACTGTAAGCATTGCAAACATTTTTTACCAATAATATGTACTTACTTTTAAACTGCTGGAAATTGACTGCATAGTCACTGATCGTCCGTGACCATCCCCAATACAACTGCGTGCATATACCTGTATATAATAATATAGGTTATTGTTTAATGCGAAATATCTTTAAAATATTATAAAATTACTCATGATCATCTATATCTAAGCAATATTTGTACACAACATAGACCTACTATTTAGACACTATTCAATTAATTATGGCGCACCCTTTCGTAATTGTAAAATATTTACACACACACAATTTTGGAGCGAACAAGGATTTTTTACATTCTTTAACACATAAACGATAAACTTGGTTTGAAATGCGAATTAAAACTTCTGAATACCGAAAATGCTGCGTACCTTTATAGGGGATACCCATATCTAAAAATGTTTGCGCAGCTAAGGCCTTAGTAGTCAGAATTATAACTCTTATTATATTCGTAATTATAAGTTATAAATTTAATTGTTAAAAATAAGAACTCGGAAATAAAAATTACGGCCACGCAATGATAACTTTAGAGGGCAAGTTGGCGAAATTAAGACCAGACAAAATGAGTATTTGACGTGGTCAAGCGTAGCTTATAAGTAATCAGGGACCGTAATGGTTAGAATATCAAATCAGTTATAAAATAACAGTTATTTTGTGTCCTAAATACAAAAATCCATTTTAATTATTTATTTGTTAACGGAAAAAATAAACGATTATTTTTAACTGTTAAAAATAATTGTTGATTTCTGTTAAAAATAAAAGTCTTTTGAGGAATGGGTTAAATTGGATACTCCATGCGCTTATTGGGGTTCCAGAAGGAGGGGACCGATAGGTCCCATCTTCGGCGTGCGCAGTTTGGATGAAATCGGGCATTCCATTCGATTTATAAATATGATATTGGATTTATAAACTTTCAACGAACTTGATTTAAATTTTGGAAAAATATAACGAAGTACAAAATTTGGATCAGGAAGTTACTTCGGACATTTGTTAATCGACTCCAAATTGTCTGAAACGAATTTATTCCAAAGTAACGTACAAAATTTGGATCAGGAAGTTACTCACTTCGGACATTTGTTAATCGACTCCAAATTGTCTGAAACGAATTTATTCCAAAGTAACGTGGGACTCAAGAGCTCTCAGTTTAATCCCCTGTTTGATCAAATTGTGTTCGATCATCAGTAGTCAGAAGAGAACTGCAGCGATTTAATAAACTGGAAACATGTATGAGTTATAGCTCTGAGCACTGATCTTTGATATACTAAATGCATATCGTAAGAGGGTAAGAGGAGGTAATAAAAAAGGGTTGAATTGAACTGGAAACCTATATGTAGCTTCAAAATTGGTTTGTTTTAGCTATGTTCAGGAAAGTTTTATTTGTAAATATGAGGAAAGTTTAGTATGAATACTTGAACCATTGGTCGCTTACTTAGATTCGCACAGGGACAGAAAATAACAGTTATTTTTGAAAATGTGAACAAAAAAATATAGTGTCATATAACAATAGATTCGTATTGGCGAGACCATTAATGATATTGTGTTATCTTAAGAAAACTCTCTCAATTCCCATGTGAAGACTTATTATTCAACGAAAAAAAAAATAAAAAGTCCTCAAATCCAAGGATTTACTTGTCATCTTTTATTTTTCCGGGTTACAAAGTATACCAACACGATAATTTTCGGTAGCAAGATTTCTTACCGGATGAGGACTTAAAATGCCAAATTACATCCAAATCGAAAAACGGCGCTTTTAGGCCGTAGATTGTGCATGAGTAGATAAAGAGGGAATGAGAACAGGGTATCTGTTTGCCTATAATTTCCTCAATTTCAAGAGTCATTTAGGTTTTACTGCGTGTTTATGGAGGATGTTGAAAGTGCTCTCCGCAAAATTAAGTCTGGAGCTGTAGGTTTTGATGGCATTCCTATTAATTTTTTAAGAGTGTTTTTCCATACATATCTGTTCTGTTATTGCTAGTAGTTGTAGTCTCTTCTTGTATGCGGATGACATACATGTTTTCTTTAGGAGTGTTGATTTCGCCAGGTTGGAAAATCTGGCTAACACAACGTTAGCCAGATTTGGATCTCCTCCAATGATCTTGATATAAATTAGAATAAGACTGAAGCTGTTTTGTTCAATTGTTGCTATGACGGTTCTATGCCTAATATTTGCGTTAGCTCCTTTACTATTAATATTAATATGTTCATTAATGACATCATGGATTCTGTTAATGCTAGTAGTTGTAGTCTCTTCTTGTATGCGGATGACATACATGTTTTTTTTAGGAGTGTTGATCTCGCCAGGTTGGAAAATCTGGCTAACACGACGTTAGCCAGATTTGGATCTCCTCCAATGGTCTTGATATAAATTAGAATAAGACTGAAGCTGTTTTGTTCAATTGTTGTAAAGGAGGCTATGTCGTTGTTGATATCTCAGGTAAACTATTGTTTGGAGGTAATTTCAGGCTTTAATTCTCGTCATTTGCATCGGCTTCAAAAGTTTGTTGTATGCGGATGACATACATGTTTTCTTTAGGAGTGTTGATCTCGCCAGGTTGGAAAATCTGGCTAACACGACGTTAGCCAGATTTGGATCTCCTCCAATGGTCTTGATATAAATTGGAATAAGACTGAAGCTGTTTTGTTCAATTGTTGTGAAGGAGGCTATGTCGTTGTTGATGTCTCAGGTAAACTATTGTTTGGAGGTAATTTCGGGCTCTAATTCTCGTCATTTGCATCGGCTTCAAAAGGTTGTTAACTCCTTTGTTCGCTATGTATATGGTTTGGTCGTAGTCATCATGTTTCCCAATTTGTTGGCCTATGCTTTGATAAGTATGTTGAATATCGTATTCTTTTGTGTTATTATAGAATTATGAGAAATGTTGATTTACCCCTGTACAGTATGTTTGTGATGTGTAGATACTCTCGGAGCCCTCATTTGTTGTATCCGAGATACTGTGAAATATCATTTGTAGTTAGAGTCGTAAGATTGCGGAATTAGCTCTCCTTGAGCCTTCGTAAGTTTACCTCTTCCACTTTTGCGTATAGGAGGGAATTGTGTGTCCATTTGTCTCGTATTTGATAAAGTTGGCTTTGAAGAAATCGCTGATTACAGGTTGCATAGTGTTACTTTGCTTTTTTTAAGTCTTGGCTGGGGAGCCATCTTTATTTAAGTTCGTTAGCATTTATATTATATTATACATATGCGCTGGTACATATGAAATTTAATGTGTGTGGTTCTAGTATTGCTCTTGCGCTTTAGAGGGATATATAGTTTATTTTGATGTAGGATTCCTTATGCTTCCTGTCCCCTCCACTTTTCTTAGCGAAAGTTAAGTAAAGTGCAGTGGATTGGCGTTCTTTTTTTTTGGAATCTGTTATATTAGTTGTTTGCATTAAAGTTCATTTTGTAGAGTTTTTTACTGTTATGTATTTTTAATTTATTTAGTTTATTCTTTGTTTGGATTTTTTTGTTATATAAGTTATTGGCCATGCTGGCTTTTTATATTACATTGGATGAAATAAATGAAATGAAAAAAGTACATTCATTTACTTTAGGTAAAGAAGAATCAGTTCTTTGAACGCGACTATAATGTAAAAAGCAATCCTTTTAATAAAAATTAGCATATATACAGATTTTAATGTCTAAAAAGTTATTCACGTAATTCCCATTCCAATTACAAACAATTAAAAGAAAATTTCAGTTAAATCAGTCCAGTTTTTCTCAATCGAAAAGTTACTATACATTTTAAACACGAGGTAAATCCATATCCGAGTTGATGCTACTATTCAACTACCACTTAACTATTAAATTTGTAGAATCCGTAATTTCTACTGAGATGAAGATAGAATCTGATAGCAGACGGTAATTTCTACATGTTGATTTAAAGCATTGATTTACATACCTGATATGGGAAAGCATAACGCAGAGCTATTGCGGCAAATAACATCTCAATACATATGAAAAAATTTTGATATCCAGCCGATACTGTACCAGCTGAGGTAACAGTGCCCGCACTGTCGACTATCGGAGATATAACTTTGGCCTTTTCCAAAATAGCCAAGCCAACACCTATTGAAAAGACAGAATAATTAATTCAGGCCGTAAAACGAAGAACGCACTACTTACCTTGCCAAAATGACAGAAATATGACTGATTTAATCGTACAGAATTTTAAAACGGGTTCGAATGGTGTAAGCAGGTCACGCGTTGCAAAGTAAAACAAGTAAAGTCCATACAAGGCTAGTGAAACAGAGATGTTGTATATAACTGTGATGTAGATGTAGCCACCGTCAGCACTATTCCCAAGGATATAATTAATAGTTATCTAGATATATCACACCCGTGATCATACATACCTCCAATCACCATCGTGATAGTGACCGAATACTTGCAGGAATATAATAATAAATGCAACAAGCGGTTTCACCAAACAGAATTGTAGCGTAGCCTGCTTACAGAAGCGCAAGAATCCTATTGTGTAGGTTTTACCCTTCAGACAACATGTCCCATAGAGGCAAGATGTCTTAATTGGTTTTCCGCGAATTTCTGACATTATATTGCCTTCTCCTCCAAGGTATTCGTAACAGAGCGACAAGAAATTGTAAATAACAAATGCTGCCAAGGGAAAGTTTGCGTTATGTCGTGATAGCAGTTATATCCTTATATGGGCCTAGTAACCTTACCTTCATAACAGTCTCGTACGGTGAAAAAATAAACATAAACATTGTCCGAATTGAAAAACAAGAGACTTATCCACGAATACGTTGCATATATCGGGACAATGAACAGGATACGCACAATCCATCGTTGTTCTTGGGGATTTGTGTACCACCGCAAATGTTGATAAATCTGTAAACAGAAACGTAAAGAGTGTGCAAGCTGGCCGTAGAAGGTGCATTATTATATATTCACCTGTTGACACGTTATGAAGAGTGCTGCCCAAACAAATATACCAGCTAGGCCTTGTGCGGTTTTTGTCTGCAAGAAAATTCCATCTCCCACGTGACTTAAAGGATCAATCGGTGCGGACATTTGCTGAGGCGGTGCCATAAAATTTAACTTTATTGTCGTTGACGTAGCGACTACTGGGGGTGTAGTAGATGTAGAGATACTGACATTTGGAGCCAAATCAGTTAATCTGCCAGCTTCTTCACTCATGCTTATCTTTCCTCGCGATTTATAAATTCAAGACACTATGTAGAGTAAACCAGAAGACGGTGTTAGTTTCATATTAACAGAACCGAATCCAATTATTTTTAAGGTAACAAAAGGTCAAAATATATAAAACTACTATAACACAAATCTAAATGAGAAGTTTACATATTCTCAAAAATTTTTAATCTCCTAATTATATCAGTAATTTTTATATATACAATGACAAATGTTTTGCAGCAGTTCAGTTATAATAACTATTACGCACGTCATCGTAGTACAATATATAGGGGAGAGGGGCACCTTTGAACACTTTTTGCTTTCAAGTCCCATAAATTTTTTTATTTTATATATATTTTTTTAATTTTTACTGATAGGTACAGATGTAACCTTTACATGAATATACATATGACGTACTATTAGTTCGTTTTTAATATTTTATTACTGTTTTAACGGACGAAGTCAAAACTGCCCCCAGGCATACATATCAGAAATGCATTTATTTATCTAAAACATAGACAAAAATGTTCGAAAATTAAACAAATTCAGATCAAAACTTATTGAAGCGTCAAGAGGCATAAAACAAAAATTACGGTTAATTTCGTAGTATTATTAACCCATTTCAAATATAAAGAAATCGCACAGTTGCGGAGTTCTTAGAAAAGAGAGGCATAAAGTGACAAGGGTGAAGAAATTCATAAGAGAATTGAAGAGTTGCTTAAAAAAGTTGTATGTGTAAACCCAGAGTACGGAAATATGTAATAATTTTTTTTTGTAGGCAATTAAAGAAAATATATTAGTTATGTTTGAAATGATTGTCGGAATGCAAAAAAAAAAGTTAAAGGAAAGAAAACGACCACTGAATTCTTTCTGCGCCTTACAATCCTTTACAATGGCACTGCAACAGCGAAAAAAAATGTTCACTATTCTACATTTTGCCGACAACTGAAAAAGCTAGCAAAAGTAATTTACGATCCCAGATGGCAATATTGCCGTATAAAAAATCCGAAAAATGTTAAAACGAGATTTTATGAGTGCTGTTCAAAGGTGCCCCCTCTCCCCTACAGTTAGATCAGAATTAATGTGGAACGACATTATTCGGAAACCAAAAACTTGATATTTTTCAATCTAATAAAACATATTTAAAATTTGTTTTTGTAAATTGTTCACGCTTTTAAAATACTTCAAAATATTATTGAACTTGTTACGGTGGAATAATCCGCAAATGTCACCATTATTTGCAACGTCAAACCTCTTCTACTCTTATATCCTATCCTAATTGTCAATTTCTAAAATGCACCTAAACTTTTCATAGCTCTTATTCTAAATACAAATAAAAATATATAAAAAACAACCAGGTTCTAAATATTAGTAAAGATCATACATACACTGTATATTATGGTTAGAAAAATGTTGGGATGGGGATAGCCAAAAATGAACATATACACATACATAAACAACCTTCAAACAGCTGTCTCATTGATTTATGATACATATATTGGCCAATAATATATAAAGACCAGGAAAACACTTCCATATTTTTTAATCGTACTCCTTAAAATGCTTACCCTTATACTCGATTTTTGTTTTCTACTTATTTCTTGATAAAACTTCAATGTTCCAGTATTAAGCTATAGTGCTGACGCAAAATCTGTAATTTTTTCTCTTGCTTCAGTATTTCTACGTGAAAATTGTATTCGTAAAATTTCGTCACTTTTCACTTCTAACAGGTGAGGGGCCAAAACAAGTGTCATCTAGGGTAGATTTCGTGGGGGTTTTCAACACTTGATGTCAAGAATTTGGTACAAACGAATTATATTATGAAGTAAGTGGTAATGCTTTGTTTTTAACTACTTCCAGTTAATAAAAATAAAACTACAATACAAATCGGACAAGTCGAAGAAACACGAAGTGATGAACCACGAAGTCGGTATTGTTAAGTTGTCGGCGGTAGTAAACGTATTTACTGTGGTAGTCATGGCCTATAAATAAGGTCACCCAGGGAGACCAGCTGGAAATCGATACCTGTCAAGTTTGCTGTCAAAATGCATTATTGTGATTTGACTTCAATTATATAAACGTAAACAAAGTCGAAAATTTTGACATTAGACTTGAGAAAATACAGCTGTTTCCGATTTCGATTGCTACCTTGGTGTCCTTATTAATATATCTTGGTGGCAGTAATCATCGTTGTAGTTTATTTTCTAAGGGTACTATTACATAATATGTTTTTATATATGTGCTGTCACTTTACTTACATCACGAACTCGTCCTGTGAAGCATTCGCAAATTTCCATGTGTCAAAAGGATATTTAATTACATATTTATTTTTTTCGAATATGGCGCGCTCTATTTTAGCTAAAACATAAGAAAATCAGCTGGCAGTAATCATCGTTGTAGTTTATTTTCTAAGGGTACTTTTACATAATATGTTTTTATATATGTGCTGTCACTTTACTTACATCACGAACTCGTCCTGTGAAGCATTCGCAAATTTCCATGTGTCAAAAGGATATTTAATTACATATTTACTTTTTCCGAATATGGCGCGCTTATTTTAGCTAAAACATAAGAAAATCAGCTGTTTGAAAGAAACACATGGTTGAATTAAAATATTTGCATTGAAAATCAAAGGAAGGGATTAAAAGGCAAAAGTAATACAATTGTTAATTCGTTTATAGGTATTTACTAAAAAATCATGTTGACTGTTTATAGGTCATATCATACAAGAAATACATATGCAAGTATGAACGCAAAAACAAATGTACGCTACTAATTGTGACACACATAAGGAATTACATTTGGACGAAACAACAGTTGACAGTACATATGCAAAAAAACATATTGTGTAAATGCATTTTACATTTTTCACAAAAGGGAGTCCAGATTCAGATTAGACAAGTTCACGTGAGGCAATTTTTAGCGTTCTCTTTCGAACTTCCTTCATGCGTCTACACAAGGCAAATCGGTTTAAAAAATATCTGCCTTTTCGTAATTTGCGTGTGTTTTTTATTTTTGTGGAAAAAATAAACAAATCAACGTTGAAGGTATAATAGAAATATGAAAAAAGCAAACAAAAATACCCTCAACGAAAATATTATGAAATTGTATTGGTATTTCAAATTACTGACACTACAATACGAAATACACAAAAGAAATTGCCAGAAAATTGACGATACGAATAATTTTTTTCTATTTCTATTCCCTTTGTACCTCTCTCCTACAAATAAAGACTTGCCGCAAGTAAACTTGCCTAATCTAAATTCACGACTCAAATGTAGATTAGGCATCGTAGAATTCCTTCCTTTGATATATTCTATATATATATTCTACAATCCATTTTGATATATTCTAAAATCGATTTTGAAATGAAAACCTGACATTTCCTCCATTTTTTGCGTTTTTAGTAGAATGTTAATAATATGTCGAATGAGGGAAACGGCCGAATGTATATACATTTTTGGACAGGCATATGCATCAATACAAGCATCATCATTAATGCTAATGTTGTGCATCGTCACTATCGCTGTGCATCTTCATGTTCATCTATGGCCTACTTTACCTCAAAACAAATAAACAAATTTAAACCCCTTATGGTGTTTCTACACGATATGTATTTTACATATGTGCTGTCACTTTTTTACATATGGAAATCGAACTCGTCATGTGAAACATACGGAAATTTCAATGTGTCAAAACGATATGCAATTACATATGTATTTTTTTCCGAATAGGACGCGCTCTATTTTCGTATGTGAAACATAAGGAAATCAGCTGTTTGAATGAAACACATTGTTGGAAGAAAATATTTCAATTGCAATTCAAAGAAAAGGATGAAAAGGCAACAATTACAAATTATTATTTCGTTTGTAGGTGTTTAATAAAAAAATGATGTTGATTTAAGAAAAAATAAAAGTGTTTTTTTGTTTATAGGTTATGTCATATGTAAAATACATATGCCGATTTGAACACAAAAATAAATGTTTTGTGTACACTGCTAATTTTGACACACATAAGGAATTACATATGGATGAAATAAGTGACAGCACATATGTAAAATACATATCGTGTAAAAACACCATTATCAAATTAAATCTATTTTATATCTAGTTTTGCTCCACTTTAAAGGTCGTTTACATTGAACCGGATTTGGTTAACCCAGTGGGTTTAAATTTTCAATTCCTTTGAATATATACCAAATAAAACGGCATACACATTAGAACTTTTAACCGGGTTAACCTACTTTATGAGGATTTATTTGACATATATGCAAAGGAATTGACAATTGAAACCCACTGGGTTAACGAAATCCGGTTAAATATAAACGTAATATAAATCCTCATAAAGTAGGTTAACCCGGTAAAAAGTTCTAATGAAAATGCCGTATTAGACTACTAAATCCAATCGATCCCAAATGTCAATTCCATAGCGTGTGCGCCACCTTAAAGGGCTAAACAGAATATTCGCGTTGAGCGTTTTTGTTATCGTGTTAACGCACGCAAAAAGGGCTAAGCAGAATGCTCGCGTTGAGCCATCCGTTGCGTTATGTGTTATCGAAAATACAACAACCACAAGGAAACGATAACACTAACGCATGAAGTTGATGTGCGCTGCGGTTTGAAGTTAAATATATTTTAACTTTTTGCGTGCGTTAACGCGATAACAAAAAACGCTCAACGCGAACATTCTGTTTAGCCCTTAAAGGTCTAAGCAGAGTGTTCGCGTTGAAGGGCTAAGCAGAATGTTGGCGTTTTTTACTATAGCGTCAACGCACGCAAAAAGTTAAAATATATTTAACTTCAAACCGCAGCGCACAAACCAATTTTTTGTGCCCTTTATCTCGAAATAAAAAACGCTTAACGCTGTCTATATGTGTTGCCACAGAGGTCTCCAATTAATATTTCACAAAAATTGCTCAAATGAGGGACCTGATGTAAAAAATATACAAACAATGTTAACAAATACATGTATTTTTTGTCAATCCATCTAGGACAATGCATGGCGTTTATAAACATAATTGGTCTGTTCCAGAACCTGCAAGAATGTACAATTTTTTACTACGATAACAATTTTTCCTTTATGATATCGATGAAGATAGAACAAATTAGTATAATATTTCAATACGAGAACATAACAATAATAGTTGTGCCCGGTTTCTTCTCCAGTAACATTATTTTTATTTTAAAATATATTTAAAATACTTTCGCTTAACGTGGCAAGTTAAGCGAAAGCTTAAAACAGCTCCATTTTGTAATTTGTTATGCCCGTATGAGTGATTTTTCTTTATTCCCATATTCCTCATACGTCCGTTTTTCAAATGCTGTCACATTGTTAACAATATATAAAAACACGCTCATCAATTTATTATTGTGTAAAGAGTTACATTTTATTATTTTTTTTGTTCGTTTTCATTTCGAGACAAAGCGCACAAAAAGTTAGTTTGTGATTGTGATTTTCCTTTATTCCCATATTCTTCATTCGTTCGTTTTTCAAATGCTGTCACATTGTTAACAATATATAAAAACACGCTCATCAATTTATTATTGTGTAAAGAGTTACATTTTATTTTATTTTTTTGTTTGTTTTCATTTCGAGACAAAGCGCACAAAAAGTTGGTTTTGTGATATTATATATAATCATATTATATATATATATATAATATGATTATGATTATATATAATATGAAAACCAAAAAGTTGGTTTTGTGATATTATATATTATAAATTTTCCATTTTTATTTAATTTATTTTTATTTTCATTTATTTCATACCTACAACGCATTGCTGAATACAGCCAATAAATGTACATTATTTTATATTATTTTTACTAACAACACACAAATTGTAGCAAACAAATAATTCCTTCTATATGCGGTAATTTAGTTTTACTTGAACAAATGCACGAACACAGCTAATGTCATAGTAGGATAATCGACGAAAGAGAAATCGATTACTCTTCAGATCTGTTTTCTCCCTCATTCTTATTTTTCGTACATTTTGTCTCTCACGGTATTCGTTTTTAGTCGATTAGTTGTTGAAATACGCGTTCTTTTTCTATATTCCTTAAAAACAAAGGACAAAGGAAACAAAGGACTAAATTCTGCAAAAAAGTGTTAAGTCGTCGCACTATACATTTTGTTCATTTTTCGAAAGTGACCCGCCGGGTATTGGTCCTTTGTCGAGGAGCACGCTTCCATCACAATGAATAAACGTAACAATGTAAGTGCACATCAATAGTTTAGTGTTTGGTGTTTATATACGTTGTTCCTGTACCTATTTCAGATACGTTTACCTCCAGAGGTAAATAGACTTTTGTATGTGCGGAATTTACCATATAAAATAACATCGGAAGAGATGTACGATATTTTCGGAAAATACGGGGCGATCAGGCAAATACGAGTGTAGGTCTTGCCACGACAAACTTCCTAATTATGTTTCCTATATTAAAACAGGTTTCATTTTATTACAGTGGAAATACACCGGAAACTCGAGGCACTGCTTTTGTTGTATATGAGGATATTTTCGATGCCAAGAACGCCTGCGACCATTTGTCTGGATTTAATGTCTGCAACCGATACTTGGTAGTTTTGTATTACCAGTCTAATAAAGCCTTCAAACGCTTAGACGTGGACAAGAAACAGGATGAACTAAACCATATAAAGACGAAATACAACTTAAAAACTCCAGAAAATGCATAACACTAACAATTTACATCAGCGGTAAATCTTCGTCACATCAATAATTATTGCAGTTTTTGGTTCACCTGTAGTTTCCAAATCGGATAGCTATCTTTTGTTTAAAAACTTTTTAAAATTGTAAGAAATGTTCAAGTTATTATGTTTATATATTCGCCTCTGTTAGGGCTGTCCGCATGTATTTCAAATTTACGTTTTTACTCCATCATCATCGTTCTCATTCTCATCACATATAACAAGCAAAACGTAAAATATATAAAAAAAATATATATAAACATTATTAAAAAATACGTTTATTCTAGATTTATTATTAAAGAACTATTCGGTTAGGAAAGGATGTTAATTCGAATTTTTCCCTAAAAAGAATAGAGTAGTGTCATGCACATAAAACAAACATTATATACAGTGGTTGCCAAAACTAAAGCAACTGGAACTGCCATCTGAGTAAATGACATGCAACTTTTTTAAAAACAAAGTTCAAAACTAAAGCAACTTTTTGACGTTTTCTTATAAATAAGCTAATTTTTGCTAGAAATCAACAGCATAACCATTATTTTTCACCTACGAGGCATTGAATCAATAAAATGCTCAATTTGATCGTTGGGTATACTATTCCTTGCAGCCTGCATCTTTGGGAAGAGGCTGTGCCTGCTTGGAAACTCTCGATTTTGCTAATCTATGATACTCCAAAGAGTTTCCTATAGGGTGATGATGATTGTGTTGCCCAAAATATTTGGTTCGCGCAACCAATCTTTGACAAGTTCTGGTGTATGTTTGGAAGTTGTTGTCATATTGAAACACCCAAAATAAGCGTTATATTTTCTTGAGCGAAGAGAACCATAGCGTCTTCTTACACACATGTTTAATACAATCCGATCCATTACTAGTCATCATGTTTCCCAATTTGTTGTTAAATTTCTTGGCCTATCCTTTTATAATTATGTTGAATATCGTATTCTTTTGTGTTATTATAGAATTATGAGAAATGTTGATTTACCACTGTGTAGTAGGTTTGTGATGTGTAGATCCTCTCGGAACCCTTAGTTGTTGTATCCGAGGTTTTCGTCTGCTATTTGTGGAAGATCATTTGTAGTTAGAGTCGTAAGATCGTGGAATCAGCTCCCTTTGAGCCTTCGTAAGTTTACCTCTTCCACTTTTGCGTATAGGAGGGAATTGTTTGGGCATTTGTCTCGTATTTGATGAAGTTGACTTTGAAGAAATCGCTGATTACAGGTTGCATAATGTTACTTTGTTTTTTTTTTTAATTCTTGGCTGGGGAGCCATTTTTATTTATTTATTGGATTTTTATTTTTTATTTTTTTTTGTATATAAGTTAATATAAGTTATTGGCCATGCTGGCTTTTTTATATTACATTGTATGTAATAAATGAAATGAAATCTCGTAAATATATCGACTCCATAAAAAGAAAAACAGCCCAATACCATTATTCACCATCCTCCATGGTTACCTGTGCCTTTGCAATACTGTGGCATTAGCCTTTAACTTTTGGATTTTCTCACGGTAATTTTTTTCATGTCTGAGTCTTTAATATTTAACTTTAATTCGTCCGAGAGCATAATATTTCACCACTGAGTCGGAGCTTTTGCGAAAGGCAATCTTGCTTTTCGATTCTTTTCAGAAATACAAAAATTATTGATAATTTCCGGGCATGTAGCTCGTCCACGCTCTGTTCTTAAGGTTATATCCAACGATAACCGTCTCACAAAGTTCGTTGAACTCTTAAATGGGTATTTTTTACTGCAATGACAAATTATTGATCAGTACGAACTGATGTTCTTTTGCAGCCTTACTCCGTGCTGAACTGTCATTACTGATATAGTTCCATGAAATCAACTTATAATAATTTTCTGTGATAAATTATATTCGCAATCGCCATGATGTCACGAAGTTTTTAAAATGCACCCGCATAATTACATTCAAAATGTTTTAAAAGTGTTAACATTATTTATTTATAATAACTTGTTTATATAGTGATTATGATATTTGAGTAGTCATGATGTAATGCAAATTTAAACATGTTTAAAATATCTATATTTATAAGAATTTGTTTTAGTGTAGCTATGATTTAAGGTGGATTCTTTGTAATTATATATAAATTGGTCATTGAATTGTAATTTGGCTTCAATTACAAAGTAAATAAAGACGAAATTAAAATTAATGGGTCGATTATGGAAAGCAACCAAACTCCAGTTGCGAGTTCAACTGGCAACGCAATTGAAATAAAACTTAACATAATGAATATCAACTTTTCTCAGTTGCTGTCGATAATACTGTTTTGACATTTTTACAACTAGAAATATTGTTTTATTTATTTATTTATTTCAAACTTAACATGTATAACGAAGCCTTTAGGCCAATAAATGTAATACATTATGCAAAACAGTATGAATTAACTACTCAAACAAAGGGACATTTAATAACATGTCCAAATGAAAAAACTTATTCTAAGATGCAAATTTAAGTTAAAAAATAAATTAAAAAATGAGATCAATCGAAAATCAAAAATATTTCATTATAAAAGAAAAGTACATATTCTAACATCCATCAATAAGTGCAATAGGAAGTGTTGTATGTCAAAGCTCAAAAAAACTTATTCTAAGATGCAAATTTAAGTTAAAAAATAAATTAAAAAATGAGATCAATCGAAAATCAAAAATATTTCATTATAAAAGAAAAGTACATATTCTAACATCCATCAATAAGTGCAATAGGAAGTGTTGTATGTCAAAGCTCAATACAGGTGGCGAACAATTTTTTTATAGAACGTTGTGGGAGCAACACTGAAATTTTTAAGTTCACTGGGTAAAGTGTTATATAACCGTGCCACACGAACAATAAATGAGTTAGCTAACAGATGGTGAACAAACGGAATTTGAAGTTGATTGCGTCTAGTAGATGAACAGAAAACCAATTTATCGACTAAAAACAAGGGACATTGTTGTCTAACTATCTTGAACAAACAAAGAAGCAAGCGAGAATCCACATACGACTTGAAGGAGCATCCAAAAAATCAATAACATAGGCACTAATATGAACATGAGGATTTAACCTATATACAAAACGTATAATTCGGTTAACTGCAATTTGGACTAAATGAAAATTACTCAAAGTAGAAGCCGAGTATACTTCAATACAATACAAGAACACAGGTAAGACTAATGCATGGACCAAACGCTTCCTTAAGAAAAACGGCAAGGATAGATCAGTCGCGTAAAGAGCACGAAGAGAAACATGCATTTTGGAAACAACCATATTTATATGGTTATCAAAACTAAGCTTGTTATCAAGCACAACGCCCAAGCAAAGAACCTCAGAGACAAACTCAATACTCGTATTATTGTACCTAACGAAAGCAAAGTCATTAACATATGTTGCAAAAAACATAGATTTCGTCTTGGACGGGTTAATGCTGAGCGAATTATTAGACATCCAAGTGTGCAAGACCCCCATAGCGCTATCAATCTTTGATTGAAACACTGACGCAAATCGAGAATCTCCTTTAAAAAGCAACTGGACATCATCAGCAAATGCATATGGTTCACACCAGAACTGCAACTCTGGAAACAGATCATTAAGAAATAGGATGAACAGAAGTGGCCCTAAAACCGACCCTTGCGGAACACCACTTCTAACGGGTAAGACAGAGCTATACCTATTCTCAGAACATACCAATTGTTTTCTGCCCAATAAATAAGATGACATAAGTGAACACGCACTAAGTGAAAAACCATACAGGGAGTGCAACTTTAGCAATAACTTATGGTGATCAACTCTATCGAAAGCCTTTTCCAAGTCAAGCGATAATAAAATACAACATTTGGTGTTACCAAAATTAGCCCGAATGGAATCAGTCAATCCCAACAAAAGAGATGCAGTACTTCTATCCTTTCTAAAGCCACATTGAGCATCATTAAGCATATTGTTGCTCTGCAAATACGACATAATCTGGGACTTTAAAATATGTTCAACTATCTTGGAACATACAGGTAACACCGAAATCGGACGAAACTCTTGCGCCACACCAACAACATTTTTCTTTTTTACTGGAACAATCTTCGCTAACTTCCAGCTAACAGGAAAAATTGAAGAGGTTAATACTGTGTTAACCAAGTGAAGAAAGTGTGAACCAACAAGAGGGAGCACAATCCTCAAAAACTTTAAGGAAAACCCATCCAACCCAGACGCATTAGATTTAATAGACGCGAATGCCGCCTCCAACTCAGAGCAATCAATGCATCGAAAAGAAAAAACATTATCACGAAGGGCAAAATCACTAACATCAAACAAAACATAGGGATTATCAAGTTGGTTCTTAGTAAAATCAGCGTTCAATTCATCTACATTTCCCGTATAACCATAGGCTTTATCAGAAGAAAAACCATTTGACTTAAGTATGCACCACAATTCCTTATTACTTCTTTGGCCCTCAAACAGTGATGAATGAGCAATACTCTTAGCCTTTCTGACGACAGATTTAGCCCTATTACGGGCCTTGCAAAAATTTCTCCAATCCACCAAACTCCTTGTGCGCATATACTCTTTAAATGCTAAATCTCTAATGGAGATGTAGTAACAAATTTCAGAGGACTCATACCAATCATTATTAGCATTAACATTATTTATTAACCTTCTTTTCTTAGTAGGGAACAAAGAGAGAAGCAAATTAAGACATGAATCAAAGCAATCCCATTGAACATTAACGTTATTCGTATTATACATAGGAGAAAAATCAAATGATGATATGGCACTATGCAAATCATCATGACGCACTGAATTATAATCAATGTACTCAATGTATTGATCCACACATGTAACGGAGATGTTAAGAGACAGAAATATAAAAGCATGGTCGGATATTCCAGGACAAATGAACTGGTTAGATAAAACAAGTGAATCCTCATTACTCAGCGCAAAAAAGTCCAGTAATGATGTGGAATTATGAGCAACAGAATAATGCGTTGGTCGAACATTGTGAATTACC